CCAACATCAGACATGACCCTCCAACATCAGACATGACACTCCATCAGACATGACCCTCCAACTTCAGACATGACCCTCCAGCATCAGACATGACCCTCCATCAGACATGACCCTCCAACATCAGACATGACCCTCCAACATCAGACATGACCCTCCAGCATCAGACATGACCCTCCATCAGACATGACCCTCCAACATCAGACGTGACCCTCCATCAGACATGACCCTCCAGCATCAGTCATGACCCTCCAGCATCAGACTCCAGCATCAGACATGACCCTCCATCAGACATAGCCCTCCAGCATCAGACATGACCCTCCAACATCAGACATGACCCTCCAGCATCAGACTCCAGCATCAGACATGACCCTCCAGCATCAGACATGACCCTCCAGCATCAGACATGACCCTCCAACATCAGACATGACCCTCCAACATCAGACATGACCCTCCAGCATCAGACTCCAGAATCAGACATGACCCTCCATCCGACATGACCCTCCATCAGACATGACCCTCCATCAGACATGAGCCTCCAGCATCAGACATGACCCTCAGCAACAGACGTGACCCTCCAACATCAGACATGACCCTCCAGCATCAGACATGACCCTCCATCAGACATGACCCTCCAGCATCAGACATGACCCCCCCCCCCAACATCAGACATGACCCCCCCCAACATCAGACATGACCCCCCAACATCAGACATGACCCTCCAGCATCAGACATGACCCTCAAGCATCAGACATGACCCTCCAACATCAGACATGACCCCCCAACATCAGACATGACCCTCCAGCATCAGACATGACCCTCCAACATCAGACATGACCCTCCAGCATCAGTCATGACCCTCCAGCATCAGACTCCAGCATCAGATATGACCCTCCAACATCAGACATGACCCTCCAACATCAGACATGACCCTCCAGCATCAGTCATGACCCTCCAGCATCAGACTCCAGCATCAGACATGACCCCCCCCCAACATCAGACATGACCCTCCAACATCAGACATGACCCTCCAACATCAGACATGACCCTCCAGCATCAGTCATGACCCTCCAGCATCAGACTCCAGCATCAGACATGACCCTCCAACATCAGACATGACCCTCCAACATCAGACATGACCCTCCAGCATCAGTCATGACCCTCCAGCATCAGAATCCAGCATCAGACATGACCCCCCCAACATCAGACATGACCCTCCAACATCAGACATGACCCTCCAACATCAGACATAACCCTCCAACATCAGACATGACCTCCATCAGACATGACAATCCAACATCAGACATGACCCTCCATCAGACATAACCCTCCAACATCAGACATGACCCTCTAACATCAGACATGACCCTCCAGCATCACACATGACCCTCCAGCATCAGACATGACCATCAGACATGAGCCTCCAACATCAGACATAACCCTCCAACATCAGACATGACCCTCCAACATCAGACATGACCCTCCAGCATCAGACATGACCCTCCAGCATCAGACATGACCCTCCATCAGACATAACCTTCCAACATCAGACATGACCCTCCAACATCAGACATGACCCTCCATCAGACATAACCCTCCAGCATCAGACATGACCCTCCATCAGACATAACCTTCCAACATCAGACATGACCCTCCAACATCAGACATGACCCTCCATCAGACATAACCCTCCAACATCAGTCATGACCCTCCAACATCAGACATGACCCTCCAACATCAGACATGACCCTCCAACATCAGACATGACCCTCCAACATCAGACATGACCCCCCAACATCAGACATGACCCCCCCCCCCCCCATCAGACATGACCCTCCAACATCAGACATGACCCTCCAACATCAGACATGACCCTCCAACATCAGACATGACCCTCCAGCATCAGACTCCAGCATCAGACATGACCCTCCAGCATCAGACATGACCCTCCAACATCAGACATGACCCTCCAACATCAGACATGACCTTCCAACATCAGACATGACCCTCCAACATCAGACATGACTCTCCAACATCAGACATGACCCTCCATCAGACATAACCCTCCAACATCAGACATGACCCTCCAGCATCAGACATGACCCTCCATCAGACGTAACCCTCCAACATCAGACATGACCCTCCAACATCAGACATGACCCTCCAGCATCAGACATGACCCTCCAGCATCAGACATGACCCTCCATCAGACATAACCCTCCAACATCAGACATGACCCTCCAGCATCAGACATGACCCTCCATCAGACGTAACCCTCCAACATCAGACATGACCCTCCAACATCAGACATGACCCTCCAGCATCAGACATGACCCTCCAGCATCAGACATGACCCTCCATCAGACATAACCCTCCAACATCAGACATGACCCTCCAACATCAGACATGACCCTCCATCAGACATAACCCTCCAACATCAGACATGACCCTCCAACATCAGACATGACCCTCCAGCATCAGTCATGACCCTCCAGCATCAGACATGACCCTCCAGCATCAGACATAACCCTCCATCAGACATGACCCTCCAACATCAGACATGACCCTCCATCAGACATAACCCTCCAACATCAGACATGACCCTCCAGCATCAGACATGACCCTCCATCAGACATAACCCTCCAACATCAGACATGACCCTCCAGCATCAGACATGACCCTCCATCAGACATGACCCTCCAACATCAGACATGACCCTCCAGCATCAGACATGACCCTCCATCAGACATAACCCTCCAACATCAGACATGACCCTCCAGCATCAGACATGACCCTCCATCAGACATGACCCTCCAACATCAGACATGACCCTCCAGCATCAGACATGACCCTCCAGCATTAGGCATGACCCTCCATCATCAGACATGACCCTCCAGCATCAGACATGACCCTCCAGCATCAGACATGACCCTCCAGCATCAGACATAACCCTCCATCAGACATGACCCTCCAACATCAGACATAACCCTCCATCAGACATGACCCTCCAGCATCAGACATAACCCTCCAGCATCAGACTCTAGCATCAGATATGACCCTCCAACATCAGACATGACCGCCCCCCCCCCCCCCCCAACATCAAACATGACCCTCCAACATCAGACATGACCCTCCAGCATCAGACATAACCCTCCAGCATCAGACATAACCCTCCAGCATCAGACATGACCCTGTAGCATTAGACATGACCCCCCGCCCCCCCCCCCCAGTATCAAAAAAGACCCTCCAGTATCAGCTACTTCTGGTACAAGAACCGTTTTTTTTCTAGCTCGTAGTTCTGCTGGTTGGTGAAGGCAGTTTTAGACTTCCTGCGGTTGTTTATTTATTTTTTATTTTTTTGGCTGCTGGTGTTTGCCGAACATAACGGCTTTGTCTTTACATTTGGCATCTGAGAGTAAAAACATGAATCGTGATGAATAAAAGTTTAGCGAAATAAGTAATAAAATATCATTTTAATTAAGGGTGGTTTAGTTGAAAATTTTATTGAAGCTTCGAGGACACGATTTTTTCTTTTAGAGAAGTCAGAACTTTGAATGAAACAAAACGAAAAGTGAATGCGAGTTCTATTTCATTCAAACCTGGTGGAAAATGGTTTGTGTAAGTTGTAGAGTCATGAAACAAATTTTGGATGATAAATCAGTTAGGGATTCACCGTTTACAAATTTTGTTTATATGTTGAGTTAATATTTTTTGGTAGCCGAGTATTCACAATCTCAATTGTGAACAATAAACAATACCCAAAGTATAAACATTATATAACTATTTTGTTAGTATGTGAGTGAATGTCCATATGAACAGCAATATAATATGTATTTTTTTATACAATATCTCGCATAACTCCAGCTAGGCCCACCATGGACTTTTAATATACATTTCATTATTACCGCAATAATGAGATCGCTTACCGATATAAACAAAAACATTATTTTCTAGTAAAAGCCAACCCTTCAGTTTCTTTGCCTTTTTTTTTTTTTTTTTTTGATAACTCACGTAATTATGTGAATAAATTTCAGTATCGAGTACCGGTTAAATTGTTAGCGTCAGTACTTAAGTTAACCTATTCAAACTTCATAAAAATCTACTTCGGCTCAGTTACTATTTTCGCGGTATCGATACGCATGATAGTGCACTAGAAAGCACAGGTGCCGGGGTATCGTGTTACACTTGTGTATACCGTAAGCAACAGGTTGTTTAGGTTCAGACTTCACCCCAGGGGGCGCATTGCCCCGGGGGGTCAGGCATTGCAATCAGGTATGTGAGGTAATTGTAACAAATTAAAAAAAAGTAATAAATGATAAATTCATGGGAGAAGGAAATTAACAAAACGCAAATGGGGGGGGGGTGTCAAAAAGGGGAGCGGAACTCGATACTCTCTGCTGGGTTCAATTGTTAATGGATCCCACGATCGTCAATGATCGTCAATTTTCTCACGTAATATCCAGCTAATTCACAAATGCGGATCACGGGTATAAAAATATACTTCTCGTCTAGAATATTTTACCGTTTTATGTCTGTTATTTTTGGCAAAGTTACGCGAGTAGGTTTATGACGAGCATATTGTGAGGCTAAAGTAAAGTCTATGCTAAACAACCTGTCGTTTCATGCTTGTGAATAAATGATTTTCTTTAAATATATTATACTAATACTCTACTATTTAAATAACTATAAAAAAGCTCCCCCGAAGAAAGTCTACCGCCCACCCTCCCCCCCCCCCCCCCCCCCCCCGAACGAAATGGAATCTATATAGAAAATATATACTTTTAACAGTGTCTGCCCCCCGGAAATTTTAGTCCATCCCCCCCCCTGAAAATTTTCAAGTGCCCCACGGAGAAAAAAGTCTGGAAGAAACACTGGGTGCGTTCTACTGACTTGAACCTGGATTCGAACTTCAGACTATGAAATAAATAAATAGGTAGGTAATTTTTCTGTTAAAATATTTCAATAAGGCAACTCATCAAAACCATATATGGCAACTTATCACAGTTTTATCTGGCACTAATGGTACAGGGAAGCGAACCCCACGTTAGGTCTAATGTTTACAAATTCGCGTAGAATTTAGTACACTTTTCGTCGACTACTTTTTAAAAATCTAGTTCTAGTATAATTTTCAATCGCATTAAAAAAGTTACAACAATGGACAGTGATGACGAAGAAACTCTACAGTTTCACGAAATGGGTATAGACGATAGAATTTTAGAGGTAGGCTAATCCTAAAAAAAAATTAGTAAAATCGAGACTCTGGAACTGTCAAACGGACCAACTCTCAGTCTCCTACTACTACTAGATCTAGAAATCTAGATCTAGATCTAGACTAGTCTCTACTGCACTTCTGGGCCTCTACACTCTATTAGAATCTACTAGATGGTCCATTTAATATTTTGAATAGCCCCCTCCTCCTCCTACCTACCTAGACTAGTTGTCATTTATGACTAGATCTAGTACCTACTCTCTTTCTTATCTTAAAATATTCTATTCTTAGTGACCTAATCTGAAGTCTAAGTTTAAGTAAGTTTCTAGACTAGATCTAGTAACTTAAACTTAAAAGTAAATTATCTCTAAATTCTTATAAAATCAAACTTGTACTTCAGGCTATTTCAAAGCTAGGATGGTCTCAACCAACTCCTATTCAAGAGAAAGCCATTCCGTTGGCATTACAAGGCAAAGACATTTTGGCAAGAGCCCGCACTGGTTCTGGCAAAACAGCAGCATATGCTATTGCTGTAATTCAGAAACTTCTTCATATAAAACAGGTATTATGTGGTATCTCAGTTATAATTTTAGTGCATTAATATTGATTTGAACTTTCTAGTTTCCCCAGAACATGATTGTCTTTATTCCAATTTTCAAGAATAAGGCTTTAAAAAAATGTTTTCCTTAACGTTTTTATATTTAGCACTTGGTGAAATGAAATATTTGTGTAATAATGGTAGAGATATATGAACTGCAATGGTGGATTTAGAACAGAATGGAGAATAATTCTTAAAAAAGAAAACAAATTATCCAATTAAATACGTATTTTATAGACTGTTTTCTGCTTAATGTCTTTTCACTGTCTTAATTATAAATGGTTTTTTTTTTCATTTTATTTATTTTTATAAGACTGCATCCTTGCAAGCTACAAGAGCAATTATATTAACACCCTCAAAAGAACTGTGCAGTCAAGCTCGTAGAAATATACTGGTATGAATTATCAATTTCTGTACTGTCAATAAGACAAACACATGCTCAGTAATTAAAACAATAATGTTAATTCAAAGCGCTTACTAATTGATGAAAACATAATTTAAGAGATAATATTTTTACACTTCTGTCTAGGAATTGACAACTGGATGTTCCAGAGATATAAAATGTGTAGACATCTCACCCCAGGCTCCTTTAGCTTCTCAAAGGTAATTATTTTCTATTATTAGTGTCAATATGACGTAAGCGGCATTTAAGTAAAAATCTAATTTAATGTTAAGAATCGCCTCTTCACCTGGTTTTCCAAGCTCAAATTATACATTGAAGCTGACTGAAAACATGCTTGTTTGAATATTTAAAGGAAGGTCGTGTGATTGCGTCAGAAAATCTCATGGTTGCTGAACTGAAAAGCCTCAATTTCAAACTCCCTGGCCACATGAGGCTTGATATATGAGGACAGCAACACATCTAGGAGAGGAAATACCGTCCAGACATGCCTACCGTCCCGCCAAAAGCGGAACCGTTCCGCTTTTTTACCCTCAAAAGTAATTTGTTCCGTCGTTCCGACTTGGACTCGTTTTGTTCCGAATTCTTTTTGAAAATAATCAAAAAAGTTATTTAAAAAAAAGGAAAAAGAAAATTATTAGCAAAAATGCGAATATCCCCCCAGAAAACTAGGAAACGGAAGTGAACGGCGTTCCCTGTTTACTTCCGTTTCCTTGTTGAAAAATGCCGAAACGTTCAGTATCTGAGATCGGGGAATCCCCTTCAACCTCAAAAAAACGTGTTCAGTGCTTCAGAACGGAATATTCGGAAGAATTTCCTTTTATCAAAAAAGGAAAGAATTGCGAAACAAATGCTCATTGTGAGATTTGGAATTGTGAGTTTAAAATAAAATATGGAGGAAAGTACATTACCAAGCACAATGCAAGTGCAAAACACGTGGAGCTAGCTAAGCTAGTCAAAGAATTAAAAAAGTTGAATTGTTTTTTACTTCGACTAAGCCTAAAAAATCAATCAATGATGTTATAGAAGCTGAAGTTATGTTAGTTGATCTAGTTACTGAAATGAATTTGACTCTTGCTTCATTAGATACATTTTCTAAAGCTTTAAACTAATGGTCTAATGTTCAAAGAAGATAAAGTTGCTAAACAATTTCAGTGTGGGAGATCGAAAGGGACAGCCATAGTTAAAGAAATAGCTGCAAAATCTACAATGTCTTTAGCTTTAAGGATGAAATCGAGTCCTTTCACCATTTCTACAGATGGTAGCAACGATTTTGGGAGCTGTAAATTATTTCCTATTGTAGTCAGGACTGTTATTGGGGGGGGGGGTTACTGGTTAATTTATTTTTAAAAATGTAAGCTGACGTTAAGCAGTATTTAAATGTATCCTAGAGACAAGTTATATAGGACTAGGAGCCTACTAATGTCATTAGAGTAATTTTTAATTAATTATTTTTATTTTTGACTTAGTAAAGTTGCGTCTGTGCGTGTGTTCCTCTTTTTGGCTTCAAATTCCTCTTTTTAGGCATAACTGTTCCTACTTTTGGCTGAAAGGGGTAGGCATGTCTGACCGTCTAACATTACAATGAAGATCAAAGAAGAAAAAGAAGAATATTTAAAAAAAAAAAAACAATTTATTTCCTTAATTTAATTTTTGTTTTAAATTTTGAATGTGCCATAAATAACAAAATCATCACATTGGTATTGTTTTTCTCTTATTAAGACCATTGTTAATGGAAAAGCCTGACATTGTAGTTGCCACACCAAGTAGATTGTTGGCGCATGTTCGAGCTGGGAATATTAATGTAAAAGACACATTAGAAATCTTGGTGGTGGATGAGGCGGATCTTGTTTTCTCCTTTGGATATGAATCTGATGTGAAGGAATTGCTAGAGTAAGTTACTTTTCTTTTAAAAAACACGCTAATTTTTTTTTTCAGTTAAATTAGTACTAACTTTTCAAAATTATTTTTGTAACATTGATTAGTATAAAAACTTTGATTGGGGGGAGGGGGGGGGGGTGTAAATAAGCATGTATTCCATATTTATTTTTTTATATTTGTAGAAAGAATGTTAGTTGAATTATTTTAAATATTTACAGTAACTTTCCAAAGATTTATCAAGCTTTTATGATGTCTGCTACACTTGGGAAAGATGTAAATGCCCTTAAAAAGTTGGTTCTTCATAATGCAGTGAGTAGGCCTACATGTTAAATTGTTTTAGCACAAAAGATTACATTTAAAAAAATGTGTAGTTCTAATACATTTTTAATTTTGTTTTTAGGTAATTTTAAAGCTGGATGAGTCTCAGTTACCTGAAACAGAACAACTTAACCAGTATCACATTAAGTATGATTTAGTTATATTTCTTTCATTTGATTTTATTACTTAATTTATATGTTACCATGCTGTGAAATAAAAATCTGTTTGACAAAAATATATGATAAATGACAGCCTTTTTATTTTGCATCAGGTGTGAAGAGCATGACAAGTTTGCATTAGTCGCTGCCTTAATCAAGCTCAACCTAATAAGAGGGAAAACCTTGTTTTTTGTCAACTCAGTCAACAAATGCTACTTGTAAGTTCACTATAGTTGATTTTAAATACTGGAATCTCCAAAACATTATTTTTTCTTTATTGGGTTTTTTGTGTTTTTCAGGTTAAAGTTATTTCTTGAGCAGTTTGGTATACGAGCGTGTGTCCTTAACTCAGAACTTCCAGTCAACTCTCGGTAAGTGGTGTCTATGACAGTGTAAGGAGATCTATACATTACTTTAACACAGTTATTTCTGATTTTATTCATTTATTAAAAAGGCAGATAAAAAGGCAGATTTTGAGAAGTTGCATTTTATTTTTGCATAACATAATTGTAATTAACATAGTTAGCTGATGTACTGATTCCTTGAAATATTTGATAGACAGTTCCTCATTTTGGTGGCAGTTCCATTTTTTCTTTTTTTATCAGGCTGTTTTTACAATATTCCTAACATAAACCTAACTACTAGAAATAAGTTGCAGGGAATGATAAATTTTTATAGTGTAAAATTATACAAACTACTAGTACAGTGTTGTAATGGGTGTTATGTGGTACAGTAAAGTTTTATCTCCTGATTTCGAAGCAGCACTGTGTATATGTTAGCTGATGTGAAGTGTTATGTATTTTATATATTTTGTATTTTACAGATGTCACATAGTAAACCAGTTCAACGAAGGCCTATACGATTACATAATTGCATCTGATGAATCAACATCAGTTTCCTCTAAACAATCAGATAGTAAACCCAAAAGGTCAGTAAGCTTTAAAGCTTTTGTTCAATGTAGTAGTTCAGAATTCATGAATGAAGCAGGTTCCTTATTTTGTATTTACTTTTTCAGGGTGAAAAAAGATAAAGAGTATGGTGTCTCCAGGGGAATTGACTTCTACAATGTCTCCAATGTGATTAATTTTGATTTTCCCCCAAACCCAGAATCCTACATACACAGAGTTGGAAGGTATTATTTTTTTTCTCTTTATTTTATTGCAAACACATATGTTGTACAGTAATTGTTAGATGCTAAATTAATTTGATGTGTTGATACAAATCTTTATGTTTTAGGTTCAAGTAACTGATGTTTTTGTTGGCTTTTTTTCTCTCTTAGGACTGCAAGAGCAGATAATCCCGGCACAGCTTTATCTTTTGTGAGTATCAAAGACAATGAAAAGCTTCTAGAAGTGGAACTGGCACTAAAGACAGAAAATGGTACTTTGTTTTATTTGATACTTTGCTTTAAAATTGCTCTTCCATTCTATGTAGAATTATTTAGAGTACTATCCTGTATTTTAAATTAAACTGGGGTGAATGAAGAATTTGATTCTACTTGCTTTCTGTGTGTAGAATGTGATTATGGGTGAGAGCAAAGATACTTTTTGCTAAAAGATTTTAACAAGTTCATAGTGACAGATTTAGAATTATCAAAGCATTGCATTTTTTTTACTTTAAAAATTTCTAGCACTGTAATTCTCCACTGTTTAGAGATCATTTTAAAATTACTAGCTTGTGTTTAACTGTTGTTTCTTTAGCCGCTAGTGACGAGCCTGTGTTTAAACCTTACAACTTTAAGATGGAAGAAATAGAAGGCTTTCGTTACAGATCAAAGGTAGCATTAGTTATTACAGTAGTAATTTTGTCTAGAGCAAGATGAATGTGATGCATGTTAAGATTGTTACTTGTTGCTAGTGTTTATTTTAATAATATGTCTTTTTGTATAATAGGATGCTCTGCAGGCTGTAACTCGAACTGCAATACAGGAAGCAAAGATGAAAGACATTAGACAGGAAATTTTGAACTCAAATAAACTTAGGGTATGTATTTATTTTTACAGCTTAGTTTGCATTGCCATGTTCTGTTTTTGTACTACAGTTGTCAACTACGGCTTGTGAGGACTGACACACTTTTATAATAGTTTTATTTAATCAGATTTATATAAAACAAATTACCATCATAACAAGTAGACTTTATAGTAGTATAGTTATTTTTAACCATGACTTGGGATATTTTTTTTTCCTGGAAATATCAATAGTAAAATAAAGTAAAAATGCTTGCATATTTGTATCTTTTCTGTTAGTCCTATTTTGATGATAACCCACAAGATCTCCAAGTCCTAAGACATGATAAGCCCCTTCATGCTGTGAAGACGACCAAGGAGCTGAAACATGTGCCTGAATATATAGGTGGGATTATATTCTTTTAACAGCACTTGTTATATATTTGTTTAGGTCCTCTACCTTCCTTAAGTATTTTACATGCTTGAGTCACTATTCCAAGATGTTTATATCAACTTAATCTGCATATTTTGATTTTGTTTTTTAGTTAATTTTTTTAAAAGCAGAATTTTTTTTTACAAATATAGATTGGTATTTTGGGCTTTTATTTTCAATGTTTTCTTGCTATCAATAACAGTGCAGATCTTGCTATATAGATTTATTTTTATTTTTAAACCTTACAGTTCCTGATATTTTGAAAAGTGTAAAACCCAGAGTTAAAACTTCAAATGAAGCTCACAGTGCTAGATACAAAATGGGCAGACCTGTGTCTCAAGCAGAGAAAAAATTCAGGGTATTCTTTTCTTTTTGCTTATTCAACTTATTGTTTTTTTTTTTTTTGCCTTAACTAGTGTGGTGTTTTTACTTAACCTAGTTTTTCTGTTTTATTTATAATAAGATGTTATATATTAATATAAACTGTCAATACATTTATATATTTTTTTCCTTACAGAAGAGGAAAGCTGATCCCCTGAAGAGTTTTGAATTTGCTGGCCTCGCTGACAAAAAAAAGAAAAAGAGAAAATAAAACTTGTGATTTTTAAAAATCAAATATTTTGTTTTAATTTTTGTTTGAGTTAAAGTAGTGTACATGTTCTATTTATGTGTAACTTGTCTGTGCATTAGGCTGAAAAGATGTTAAAGGTTTTATTAAGTAACAGTTTTGGGATTTACTTACACTATTTAAAAATAAGACTGCAGTTGCAAAAAGTTGGCTTATAAATTGTATTTAATATTTATAGAGAAAAATGCATGGGTATTAGTACACTTACCTTTCATTTTGCACTTCCTCCTTAGTTGGTACATCTGAATTCCCAGCAATCAGTACTACATGAGGAGTTTTAAAAAATGGTAGTGGATTGGAAGAAATTTGATTGGTTTCTAATCTGACACTTTGTTGGTTATAATGAATCACATTATTGGCTTTAACAGAAATACATTTGTACAAATGTATTAGTAGTATTAAATAATTATCAACTTTATTTCTAAAGTTTTATTCAATTTGATTCCTGTGTCCATAATTTGTTATTTGCGTCCTATTCTGAAACTAAATAGCAAAATTTCAACCACCTCTACAGATCTGGCATACACATGACACATAGGTCAAAATCTGATGACAATGCAATGGGACTTAAACTTTTATATAATTAAATCAGAAACTGTGTGTGTCACCCCCCTCTGACAATTTTGCAAGTTGGGTTAATGTTACCAATCTCCCATTTCGTTCTAAGTGGATAACATTATCAGTACATTTTACTTTTTTTTTAATTTGGTGTCACCCCAAAAATGGTGTTAAACAGTGTGAACCGCACCCTTCCTTGCCCTGTGGTTCTATTCAATAAAATTTTTTTTATTAAAGACTGCTATAAACTCTATAAAGTACTAATCTTACTTCCATTTATATGGTTTTAGTTAAGCGGTTTGATTTCAATTTAAAATAAAAATGCTTACAATATAATAACGAAATTTAATATAAGCATGAAAATAAAATAAATTAATGATGAAATGTAGCATATAGATAGAGTATACATCTAGACCTAATTATAATAATGAACCACTATTTAGGTTAATTAATAGCCGAGCTGAAAAGAAACGCATGTGCCAATCATAGCCTAGGAAATTCAATACATCAGATCTAAAAGACTAGTATTTTTTGTACATAGGTCTCTAAGGCGTGATAGGCCCAGTGTTTCTTCCAGACTTCAGACTTTTTCTCCCGGGCGGGGGGGGGGGGGGGGCACTTGAAATTTTCGGGGGGGGGGGGAGGGGACATTGTTAAAAGTATATATTTTCTATATAAATTCAGCCATTTCGTGTGGGGGGGGGGGGAAGAGCCGCCCTCCCCCCTCCCGAAAAAATGCCTGGAAAAAACTTTTTATATTGGTTTCCTGCAGCTAGGCCTACGTTAAATTTAATAACAAGGTCCAACCCCTGGCCTACATTAGGCCTAAACATTTATAACATGAATTTCCGATCTTCAATTTTAGGTGTAGGAAATCAACCAATGAAAATATGTTTAACAGCAACCACTGACCAATAGGCACTTCCGTTATTATGTTGAAAATATTGTAAACTAAAGAAACTTTGGATATCCTGCACCTACAACTTTACAATTACAATGCTTTAATTAATTAACCTTGTTTATGTTTTAAAGTTAACCGTATGAAAGTAGATCTAGACTCAATACTAGACTAGTGTGAGTATGGCTATTGAATTTTACACCGATGATCTAGAAATAAGTGCCAGTGGGCCCAGTCAGCCCAGTCAGTCACAGTGGCACATCACAGTAGTACACTGAGTACAGTAATGGTACTAGATCTAGATCTAACTACTAATGTCTGTAATGATCACAGCTAAACACCCAGACTTGAGTTGAGACTAAACTAGATCTAGATCTACACCCTAAGTCTAACTACTAGATCTAGATAATTAAATTAACAAGGCGCGCAGCTATTACTATTACAAACTAATCTAGAACTAGAATCTAATCCAACTCTGAAAGTTCTCTTGGTCTCGACCCTTTGAATCCTAGTCAGAACGTCCCTCGGCAGGCTTGTTCATTGTTGCATTAGGTAAAATATAAACTCAAAACAATAATATTGATTATAGGCAATATAGGGCCTAAACATTCTTATTTAAATAGGTCAGGCCACATACCTCGCATGCGTTGTAATATAAAGTTCTTCTTCTTCTTCTTCGTTCTTAATTATTAGTGTTGAAGGGGATCGAGAATTATCTGCCAGTGCGTTTGAACTCGAGACTTTGTTCAAATTTATCAACCATGAGCTTTTTGCCGACTCGACCACGCCTCCAACACAATTAAGCGTTACGTGTCAACTGGTTATGCGCCATTGAGGCCATTGACTCCGATTTCAGCCTGCTTTTCTTTTTGGATTTGCTTCCATAGCCTTTGTCCAACCAAGAACAAACTACAAGGCAGCAGTTGTTTAATTTTGGAGTTGTCTCTCCTAGAAGAGTGGCTGTCCCCAGCTAACGAGCCTCATCTGCCCGGGGGTTCGAACTCGAGACTTTTCGGTTTAGCAACCATGAGCTTTACCGACTCGACCACGCCGACCCCTAATATAAAGTTGATTCTAGCCAGAAGAAGATGGGCATACACGTGCTAAAATTAACTGGTTTGTCATGTCATCTAATTATGTTCGTTGTTTAGGCCTATGTGTTGTTTTGATGGGACAGAGATTAACACAATAAATACCTAAGTAGGCCTAATAGATTTAAATAGCCTATTCAAATAGGCCTATATTAAAAAAAAAAAAAAAAAAAAATATGTTACCCCCCCTATACTTAAACTTATAAACTAGAACTCCTTACTAGATACACTATACAACTATACCATGAACCCTCAACCCCTGACGACCTGCCCAAAGCACAACTGCTCGAACACAGTACAAATAGTTTTGCCAGAAGAATAAGGCTCAAAGGATAATTTGAGCCCATTGCGCAGTATATATCTCGCAGTTTTTGTCAAGCTATTTAATTGAAACTATGTAGGTCCCTAACACTTAAATTATATTTACAATTCTGCAGTTGTTTTTTTCACTTATTTGTTGTTTCTATTCTGTACGCTTTTCTATTTCTAATTAAAGCTCAATAAAGAAGTACTACAGTAGTATCTTCCTAACGTTTTTTTTTTTTTTGTGTTTTTTGTTTGCATTTAATAAAAGCGCTCAACTAGAGTTGAATGAATTATGCTGAAGTGGATTTTTATTATATTGGCCTCTATAAATAGTTGTACTACACAACTACTAATGCAAATGATTATTGAATACTGATGCTAAATTTAGAAACTACCGGATCTAGATGGATAGCTGGCATCATTCACACTAGAGGGAAATGAAGCTCAGATGTTAAAAAGACTGTGATATGAAATTTAGGCCTTAATAATTTATTTTATACATATTATTAAAATAAAAAAAAATAATATTAATTTTAGTTAGTTAATGTTATGTTCAGTTTTTTTTTGGTTGGAAATTATAAAAGGTTTCTGGTTTTTTTGTGAGGCTTTGCAATACAAATTTACAACCACCAGATTAATTCTCAATTTTACACATACAGTAGATCTATTTGTACATATCTGACTAAGGCCTACTACACATTGGGCCTACATTGAAAGTTAGGATAGACACATTTTCTCTGTTTGTTCTTACTTAGCTTTATTCTTTTAGTTTCCAATAATATGATATGTCAACAAAGGACAAAATGATAGAATGTTTTAAGTTGTTACTTGTATTAGTGTTGTAGTATATAATATTACTAATATTGACCAATCAATGTTTGGTGTAAGTAATCAAGGTCAAGGATTTGAGTCTATTTATCTTGAAATCTAACTTTGGCAATTTAATAATATTTTAATTCCAGTTTATTTTAATTCCAGTTTAAACAGCAAGCCATGTCTATTAAATACTCAAAAAGAGTCTACGGAAATGCACAAAGGAAAAAAGACGCGTTTAGTAAAATAGCAGAAGATAGCCCAGAACACATATTTAGCAGCAGCGGTAACAACTCATCTTGCGGCAGTGATAGAATATTGGCCTACCCAGAGGAAGTTAAAAAGCCACTCAGGTGTAAAAGGAATTATTCCAAAAAGATAAAATTCGTCCAGTAAGTGTGCAAGATTTTGTTGAATAAAATAAACTATATCAGACGAGGCCTAGCCTGAAGGTTTTAAATTTTTGTAATGCTTTAAGGCTTTTACAAAATTTGTTTTTTATTCTAAAAACATTCACTGTCCTTATTATTATAATAGTTCCATTTCCATATTGTGAGAACAACTAATTACAGTAAACATATACTTGTGATCTATTTATGTTAATAGTTGTTGATTTTTTGGTTCTTGTATTTACAGGCAGCCAGAAGTATCACTGGACCAAAGTCGTGTTTCAAATTGTACAAGAAATGGTGAACACTCACTGGACACTGACCACATGTTATTTAGTGATAATAAAAGTTACACTGTAAGCTGCTGGGTACATTTTATGGCTATTGTTGTTTATCATAGCTAACTTGAAAAAACTTTTTCTTCTTGTTTTATTTTTTTTTTTAAATATTTTTTTACCATTATTTATAAAAATGGATCATAAAATTATTTATCTTCATACACAAATCTAAATAAAACTAAATTTTATCTAAGCTAACTTGCTATAATATTTGCAGTTTTTTTCTTAATCTAGAAAATATAATGAATAAAATTATTATTTTCCCAAAGCGTATTTCGTAAAATTTGTGGAAACTTTTTTTTTCAGAAAAGGAAAGGTCGAAAGCCATTGAAAGAAATCAATTCCTTCACGACAAACAAATCAGAGAAGAAAGCTATAAAAACCACTAGAAGAAAAAAGGTCACAGAGCAATGCCTAAATGAAAATTCAGCAGAATTTCCAACTAATTTACCAGACTTTGAAGACATAGACAAAGATGAACTAGTCATAGATGTGGAAAAATATTCAGATGCAATCAAGTGCAGTACGCCAATCGGCTTGTCTTTAAAAGCAAAGATTTGTGACAGTATCCACAGAAACTCCAGTCCTATGCAACATAAAGTGCACCATGAAATGTCCATGATTTTACACGATGTTGAGAATCTGGGCAATATTACAGCAGAGGAGTGTTCTGAAATAAGCCAAGTCAAAATAGATGTTTCAAATATTACGTCCAGGCGGCCTAAAAATAAAAAGCCAAAGTCTTGTATGAGAAGATCGGTAGACAAAGTTTCTTCAGATTCTGGCAATTTGTCTGAAGAGAAAGGAATCAACAGCATAGAGTCACCTTCACCTAGTTTCTGCAATGTTTTAAAAAATATCACATCCACCTTAAGTCCCAGATCCCCAAGTGAAGAATCTGGTTCCTTTTCTGAATCATCAATAACAGACTCCCTTTCTTGCTTGACACGGTCATTAAGTGCTTTGGGGATAAGTGGCAACAATGCGTCCTTGTTCAATAAAACCAGTTCGCCTGTCATCACATATTCAAAAACAGGCCGGCATAAAATGTTGTCACTGCCAGTTTCTGATAATTCCAGGGATTTATTTGAAGGTTCTGTGAATGCTTCGAATTTGTCTCAAATTGAAGAGTGTAGCGAAGTTGAGGTAAATGATGTTATACCAGAAGAGGAAGAGGAAGAGGAGGAGGAGGAGGAAGAAGAAGATGATAGTGATGAAGATGAAAGTAACTTGACACTTGAAGATGAAGAAATTCTCTCAGATACTGAGAAAAGTTTGCAGCATTATTCTTATATAAGTACAGAATCATTTTCTGTGAGTCATCGTTTATCTATATTTACTTTAAATTATTAAGAAAATACTTTTTTTTTAAAGTTGTGCTATTATTAATTTTACAGTATAATATATTTATTTTTATGAAAGATGATAATATTAAGGTATTCTTAATTAATTTTCTTGCAAACTCAAATTTTTAAAATTGTCGGCTTTATATTTCAAACTTGTTTTAGCTAAATTTCTCACAGATATTTTAAAATTGAAACAGGAAAATTAGAACAATATTAAATAAAATAATAAACTATATCTTTGCTATAGCAAAAGCTGCTTCATTCTTCACTGTGTCCAGAGATAGAAGTAACACCTGAAGAAAAGATTTTAGAAGTTTGTGGTCAAGAGGAACCAATTAGTTTTACCCACAGTATTCCTTCCAGGTTTGTACTGTTATACTAAAGCTCATGAGTTTGGGTTTAACATTCAACTGTACCATTAAAAAAGTTTTAAAATGTATTTTTCTTCTACTTCTTCTGTGTTCTTACTTTAGTTTAAGGTGGAGGATTTAAACAAGTCCGATTTCATGTATGAACTGGACTGTGGTCTCCAGATCCACGGGTGCCCCATATAGTTTTTCCTTGAGTGGTGTGTATAGGGGCCTGTATTTGGATCGCACCTGGCTATATAAGGAACTTTCCTGAAGGAAATGCCACACTGGCAAGTTTCACCATACCCAACTTAAATGCATTTTGTTTTTCCTTTATTTTAGAATGCTGAGTAAATGTATGAAGATAGGAGAAGGTGTTTATGGAGAAGTATTCAGGTCCTGCTCTAATGGACAGTCTGTTGCTTTAAAGGTAGGACAAAATATGTATTGATAATCATTGTCATTTTATGATCATTATAGCCCTTGTTTGATATTAACTACATTGGATTGACATATTTTTTGTTTGTTATAAAATATTAATAGTTAAAGTATTGCTCTTCCACAGATCATTCCAATAGAAGGAGATGTAATTGTTAATGAGTGTCCACAAAAGAAGTTTGAGGAAATCCTCCCAGAAATGGTTATTGCTCAGTAAGTCGCCTGTGCTTAAGCTAGTATAGAGAGAATTTTTTGATTGTAAGCTGAACAATGTAGAATAAGTATCTTAAAACTTGGATGATGTGAGAAGAATTCAATTGTATGTGGAAAAAAATATTTCTTTACGTTGTGTATTTCAAATACCTTAATAGTCAATGCCTCCACCACTTTTCTTAAGTTTTTAGCGTGAACACTTATAAATGATGATTGTAAACTTTCTTTGTTTCAGAGAACTAAGTGGTTTAGCATTAGGTGAGACAAATCAAACTGAAAACTTTTGTCAAGTAAACAAGTAAGTACCTGTTAGTTTGATCTCGACCAGATATTACCAAATTTATATTTTATTTGCCTTTATTAATTAAAGCTTAAAAATATGTAGTTCCACTTTTAATAAAAATAAACATATTTTGTTTTTAATTATTAATTTTACAATATGCTTGTGCATTTTTTCAATGAAATGTTTCAAAATTCCTAAAGAATTTCATACGTGAAAGGGAAATTCCCAGAGAAGCTGCTGGAACAGTGGGATCTGTATGCAGAGAAGAAATGTTCAGAGAACGACAGACCAGGTATGTTGATCTGCAGTTGTTGGGTTGTTGAGTAGTAGAGGCACAGGCGTAGCGAGGGCAGGGTGGGGGGTGACACCAAGGCAAAAAAATGCCGCACCGGGTGACACCAAACCAAGCGACACCACTGTAGAGGCATGACACAGAATTGGTGTGATTGTGGATTTCATGTGTTGACCCATCCTTGTCTTAAATCTGTTTCACCCCTCTCCCCCCCCTCCTCCAATTCAGTGCATGACTGAGTCCATCTACCTCAGGTCATGGACTGGTAGCTCATAACAGGCTACAACTTGTGCCTATGCAGAACAAAAATTTTAAAATATAACTTATTAAAATAGTACTGCATTATATTCTTATGTTAGTTTACAAGAAGGCTAACCAAAAATCTACAGGACCTCAATAAGTTGTCTCTTGTTTTACTTGTCAATTAAGTTAATATTAAAATTTTTCCAGACATGTTTACAAACGATCAACTGTTTATTGTGTTTGAATTTGTGGATGCCGGGTGTGCTTTAGAAAAATATAAGGTAATAAATCTCAAGATAAATTGTTTTAAAAAAAAATGTCTTCATGTCCACCAAGTTGTATTTTTCTGATGATTTATAAAAATAAAATCTATCTTTATTAGTTTTCCAACCAAAGAGAGGCATACAGTGTTCTGCGACAAGTTGTCTTCGCTCTAGCAGTAGCAGAAGAAGCGCTAGAGTTTGAACATCGAGATCTTCACATTGGAAACGTTCTAGTCCGCCCCTGTAAAGAAGAGACAGTCAAGTTTAAGTTAAAGGGTGAAAGCTATGAGTTTCCAACAGAGGGTGTCATGGCTACAATTATTGACTTCACAATTTCACGTTTACAGAAAGGTGAGTGTTGCTGTGGTTTTTTTTTAAATTTAATTCATAATTGATTTTTTGATCGCCCTGGCTTGTATATACTAAACTGTTTACCTGTTTTTATCATGAAGCTATGAATTATAAAGTTTTAGGAAAGTTTAGAAATAGTTACAAAACCCACATAATGAATAATTCAGTTAAGCAAAGGTTCTATAAGTATATTTGGAATTATGTAAAAAAAAAGAAAAAAATACTACAAAGAATCGAGGTCCTTAAATTTAACAAAGTAACGTTGTCATTTATTGGTAATTGAATTCTAAACTTATTCTACAAAAAATTCTTATAAACTTTTTTTTAGTTATACTTTAAAATTTGTACTGCTCTGTTAAGCATAAAAAGTGTTAAATTGTATTGACTGCTTTGTTGGTAAAATTGATAATACATCTCTTTAAAGAGAAAATCTTTTTTGATCTGAGGTTTGACAAAAAAATACCACTAAAACTAATTGTCCTTAATTTCATCTCATGTTTTCAGATGGATGTGCAGTTTTCTGTGACATCTCAACAGATGAGGGCTTGTTTGAAGGAACAGGTGACTTTCAGTTTGATGTGTATAGGGACATGCGGAAAGAAAATGGGTGAGTACTTTTTCATTCATGGTGGTGGTATGGTTGAATGGTAGAGCATTTGGCTACAAGCCCAAAGGGTTTTAGTTCGGATCTTGATTTGGACTTCTGACTGCTAGACGTCCATAAGTCCACCCATCTCTATGGAGACCTGACTTATATTCTACTTCATACTTCCATTGTTTTTTTAAGCTGATATTCCGTCTTGTTTTAGTTTTTAAGAGAATGATTTTTTTTCTGATTCATACTTAAACTGTTTTTAGATGATGAAGTTAACGTTAACATGTTAGCTCATATTCAAATTTATGTTTTAATTTTTTATAGATGTTAAATACTTTCTGATTGATTAGTAAGTGCTTATAACTTGTTCACAGTCAATACAAATAACTTATTTTCTTTGCTGTGACAGGAACAACTGGGAAGTGTTCAGTCCCCACTCAAACATTCTGTGGGCCAATTATTTGTGCAAGAAACTGGTCATGACCATAAAGTACAAACAGAACAGTCGGCAGCACACAGACATCAAAAGGCATCTGCGGTGTATGGTCGACCAGATTTTGGACTATTCCTCATGCCTGCATTTGGCAGAAGACAGTAATACTTGGGCATTGTGAGTTTGGTCAGACGCATGTTTGTGTGAGGGGTGGGGATTGGGTGGGTGGAAAAGTTTAAATGTATGGTTAGTCATAGTTGATGTGAAGTCAGGGATGTATTGAAAATAGGAGGATGGCTCAATGATATATATGCCTGATTGTTTTGTTTGAGAATGGTAACAAGGGAGTCTCTTGGTGATTTTGTATTGTTTTAAACTCCTTAATTGTTGAGAACAAAATCATTGCATTTATTATGCTGTCTTAGGCAGTGGTTTCCAAACTGGAAAGTGTGTCCCCTTTGTGAAGGGATCCACGATTTTTTAACAAAAATGTTCCTTATTAAAATACACAGATGTATATAATCTTTTTGTAAGTTTAGACAAATTACAATGTTGAAAATCTGTTATACATCGAATATTCAATTTTTTTTAGTTACTTCCCATACATAAAAATAATTTTTAAAAATCAAAACTTTTAAAAATTCAGAGAAATTCAATATTAACAACAGTAGTAATAAAAAATGAATTAGGTTTGTAAAAATGTGAATAATAAATTCATTTAATGACTTTTCTAATATTTTAACAGGAACAATGATTTTTACTTATAAAATGCAATATTTTTTAATTTTACCAAAATATGTTGACACTATTTGTTATTCAAATATTATAATATTGGCAGAAAAGCATACAAGTACATGCACAGTTTTATACCTTCTCTCTTCTAAAGAGCTTTATAAATAATGTTGCATGTTGGCCCAAAGTATTCTTTTTGTCCTTGCAATTCTATCGTTCAATTTATCTTCTTATATCTAGTATAGCTCCGGAACTTAAAATTATATAAAAAGTGTGATAGGGCTTGGTAGGTGACAAGATTTATGGCTTTTAGAGGGCAGCCACAGTAACAATGTTTGGAACTGGTTTTGTATGTTATGTAAATAATTTTTTTCTCTCAGAATCTACATGATGTAATTTAGTTTTGATGAAGAAAAATGAAATGTGTTCACAAATTATTTTAAAGAAACAAACATTTTGTGCATTGCTGAAAAAAACAAACTTAGCTAGGTTGTTCTAGTACTATATAATGTTCGTCTCATTCTAATAAATTAAAATATGTAAAGAAATGTTCGAAGCAATATTAAGCATCATTTAAAAACTTGGTTGCTTCCCTTTGTATGTGTTCCTCTGTATTCGCACTATTGGCACAAATTTGTAATGTTTTTTTTTTGTCTCTAGTTTTTTAAGTAAATCATTGCTTTATTGCAAATAATACAATAATGTTATATTTAACCTAAATGAGATTGCAATTTCATTTAAAAAACTGGGAATCACAGTATTACTGTTGCATGTTTTTTATAAATGATAAAATGAATGCTTGCTGTGTTGCTGATCTTAATTTAGTATTAATTGACAACAATGTTATGGTAAGTTGGTGTATATGTCTGACAGATATTTTTTTGTGTTGAATAATTGTTGATTGCCCATTTTGACTGTAATAAAGCAGAATTTTTTAAACAGTATCTTGAAAGATTTGATTATGAATTTCCAATCACATATTTATTTACATTTATTATGTAAACAAAAAAAATAATCCCATTGATGTTTTACATTGCTTTGTTTATTTACATCTCTGGAGATGTTTAATTGATATTTTTGACTACACATGTTCTTAAGTTAATGGAAGAAAAAAGGTATTACTAATAAAAATAAGCCTAACTTCATTTTTGTTTTGATAGTCCTTAAAACTTTTAGGGAATGGGATGGATAAATGACTCAGACAGATATTTTCCACTAAAATATTTTAATGAACTTAAATGTTATTAGATTTGTCTTCATCAGGCTTGCATGTATACTTATTATATTTTTTCTAAACAAATTGTATATAGGTCTAAACACATTATGTTTATGTCTCTACATAAAGATGTATTTATCAAATATAGGTCTGTGCATGTAAAATATAGTTCAGTGTACACACCAGTTGTAGGTCTGTGCACACATAAAGTGTAGGTCTGTACATCAGGTAAACTTCTATATACACATCAGGTGTTTACACATATGGTGAATGTTGGTGAAAACAATAGGTGAAGTTCATTACAAACCAGATGTATGTCTGTACACATTAAATAGAGGTCTGTGTACACACAAAGTGTAGGTCTGTACATGTACATAAGGTAAACACCTATATACACATAAGCTTAAGTCTATAATTTTAAGTGCAATTCTGTGGACAAATGTGTGTTGTTTATTTTGTGTACAGATTTGTTTCACGTTTAGTTCTAACATACACTGGTCTAATTTGTGGTTTAAGTTTTTGGACATACATTAACATAAACCTGTGTTTACGCATATAGTATCCATACTCATATACTTTTTACCTGCCTGATTAGATCTAACAGGTTCACAAACAATTACATTTCAATAATTCCCTCCTCATGAAACAAGTATGTCGACTGGTTTTTCAAAAAAACAATAGTGTATAAAGGAACAAAATTTTCAACACATTAAGCAATTTTTAAGAGAAATAAGTTGTTTTTTTTTATAATGGAACCTACGTTCACAAATGTACATTCTCATAGCACTAGCATACAGCACTACAGTGGTAGGAAATGATATATGAAAAATCTCTAGTTAAGAGACTATTATTGTCTTGTTTGCACAAATTACCTATGCAAAATCTGGAATCATTGTTTACATATCGAACATCCTGCAGCTGATTGTGTACGTCAGAGGCGTAGCGGGGGGTGCGGACCGCACCGGGTGACACCATTTAGGGGGGGTGACACCAAGGCAAAAAATAGCAAAATATATAGAGAAAAATGATAATTCCACTTCATTAAGTGATTAATTCGAGTGTTAGATAGTCTTTTAATAGGTGCAAATTGAAAGTTTGAGGGGGGGGGGGGTGCAAAGCGAAAATTGAAAGTTTGCCCCGGGAAGGGTCACTACGCCTCTAGAGGGGTGACACCATTAAGTGTCGCAGCGGGTGGTACCCGACCTCGCTACGCCACTGGTGTACGTTGTTGTAGGTTGAGAGCACAACTTACCAACCATAAAGTTCCAAGCTTGTTAGACTTCCTTGTCGACAACCAGCTGTACTGGCACATGGGAAAGTCAAGGCGGCTGGACATAGGACTGACCTAGCTTTCCCTTCACTTTTCAAGGTCAGTGAAATGTGTATTGACCTTCAGACAGGAAATTATAACAATTCTATACTTTTTACCCAACGTTTTCTGTATTGATTGAATGTATGTACATCAGTTGGTGGTTTGCATCTAAGGTTAATAGGGGTCCATACTCATGGGTTTAGGACATTACCCCGGAGTTATTACCCCCTCCCCTGACAATTCCCCCCCCCCCCCCATTCTGAAGAACCACAAACCTAAAGCTAACCCCAACACCAATCCTAACACCAACTCTAAACCGTTATCTAACCCTAACTGGGTGGGGGGGGGGGGGTAAATGACAGAAGGGTTGTTACTCCGGAGGAAAATGTCCGGGCGGTCATTGACGGGTTGGGGGGGGGGGGGTAATGTCCTGCTCCCCATATTCACACTTAAGAGAGGGATGCAAAACATCGTTTGTAGAAGTGGCGTTGAATTTATTTAAAACGTGCTCTCGTGTGTGTACCTGCGTGTTCAGGAGCGTCACGACATCGTCACTCAGCCCCCCATCGACCTTCTGTCGTTCAAGATGAAGAGGTGACGAGAGGACCCCGGGGGGACTCGTTACGAGGTGAAAAAACAAAGGCGGGGCACTGTGGAAAGAGAACCCGGTAATGTTGCTTTAAAACAGAGTCACGTCCCCTTCATGTGTTGGTTGGCCTCGAGTTAGTCACATAATTAGCGAGGCCGTGGTTGAGGGGGTGGGGAGAGTGAGTTCAAGTCTCACTACAGATAGGAGTAGAGTGCTTATAAACTGTCCACGGGGAACTGATGAGGGCAAAGTTTATTTGATCAGTTGTTTTAATTAATTCTGAAGATCCCGCTCTTTTGCGTTGGATGTGTTTATGTTATATAATAATTATAAAGATGATTTGACGTACAGTGAATACAACTTACCAGGCTTTAGAGCTACCTTTTTTTTTTCGTAGATTTTGACGTAAGGTGGGGACTGTTAGTGTTAACAGCAGTGGCGTAGCAACTACATTCACAACCGACTCGTTATTTTGGGCGTATTCAACTAGATGTTTTATTCGCATTATTATTACTGGATTTAGTTACCATATTTGAGTTTATATAAACAAAAAACAAACTCGCTGTTCAAGACAGACATATCCTTCTCGGCTCACTGTAAATACAAAACTTTGTGATTGGCTATCTTATTGTTAACATTTTTTTTAAAACAACACAATTACAACTCTGTTTTGTACACAAAACATCACTGACATATAGATCTATAATAATCATTATTATTTTTAAAACCATTATAGAAATAAAGATTAGTAGGTTTAGCCTCAGTGCAAAGGGGTAGCTCAAACTCCAAAGTGTAAACAAACACAGGTACGCCACTGCAAATTGTATTGCATTACCAATGACGCTCTCAAAGTCCGTATTTTAAAACCGTGTTGTCATTTCCGTCTACTTGACCTAAATCATCTATAACTTATTAACTTCTAAATTCTAAATTTAGACATTCATCCGCGAAGCCGGACGATTTATAGAACGGCCTGCTCCATTACAAACTATAAGCCTTACCCAAAGCTAATTTATTTTGCACTAAAACGCATTCAAATATTTCAAAGTTTATTATTTTATTTCCAAGCACACCTGTAAGTTAAATAAATGCTGAAAGACGTTCAGCCCTTTCATTGACCTGTGGTTCTATGGGATTCGCCAAGACATGCGAATTTCCTTTAATAGCCCTCATCCAGCAGTCGTGGGGTTGACATAGGCGGCGGGGTCCGCCTAATGAGGGGGTCTGTTGTTTGTGACGGACTGGATGAGTGGGTCATGATACAACCGTGGGGGGTCGTCAAACGTCTTACTCGGGCGTACATCTGCCTTAATGGGGAAAATTTACTTAATGAAAAATATCCACTTAATGAGTATAATTCATTTTAGAAATATCCTCCTTAGGGACTTGAACTGACTTAATGAGAAATACTTCATAATGTGTAAATTCACTTAATGAGAAATACTTCAATTTCCATAGTGACTGTGATTCACTTAATGAGAAAAACACCATTCATGGTTACATTTCGCTTAATGAAATAGCGCCCTTAAAAATTCACCTCACCAGTAGACCACCTCACCACCAAAACCACTAGAGCACCTCACTTCCTCAGCACAAGACAACCTCATCACTACACTACATCACCACTACATCACCACTACATCACCTCACCACTACACCACCTCACCACTAAATCACCTCATCACTACACCACTACATCACCACTACATCACCTCACCACTACACCACCTCACCACTACACCACCTCATCACTAGATCACCTCACCACTAGATCACCTCATCACTAGACCACCTCACCACTACACCACTTCACCACTACACCACCTCATCACTAGATCACCTCACCACTAGATCACCTCATCACTACACCACTACATCACCACTACATCACCTCACCACTACACCACCTCACCACTAAATCACCTCATCACTACACCACTACATCACCACTACATCACCTCACCACTACACCACCTCACCACTACACCACCTCACCACTAGACCACCTCACCACTAGATCACCTCATCACTAGACCACCTCACCACTACACCACTTCACCACTACACCACCTCATCACTAGATCACCTCACCACTACATCACCTCACCACTACACCACCTCATCACTACATCACCTCACCACTACACCACTTCACCACTACACCACCTCATCACTACACCACCTCACCACTACACCACCTCACCATTACATCACCTCACCACTAGATCACCTCATCACTACACCACCTCACTACCTCATCAATAGATCACCTCATCACGACAAAAAACTCATCACTACATCACCTCACCACCAGACCACCTCACCACTAAATCACTACTACATCACCACTACACCACCTCATCACTACATCACCTCATCACTAGACCACCTCATCACTAGATCACCTCATCACTACACCACCTCACCACTAGATCACCTCACCACTACACCACCTCATCACTACACCACCTCACCACTAGATCACCTCACCACTAGATCACCTCATCACTACACCACCTCACCACTAGATCACCTCACCACTACACCACCTCATCACTACACCACCTCACCACTAGATCACCTCACCACTACATCACCTCACCACTACACCACCTCATCACTAGATCACCTCACCACTACACCACCTCATCACTACACCACCTCACCACTACACCACCTCACCATTACATCACCTCATCACTACACCACCTCACCATTACATCACCTCATCACTAGACCACCTCATCACTAGATCACCTCACCACTACACCACCTCACCATTAGATCCCCTCACCACTACACCACCTCACCACTACACCACCTCACCACCTCATCACTAGATCACCTCACCACTACACCACCTCATCACTAGATCACCTCACCACTACACCACCTCACCACTAGATCCCCTCACCACTACACCACCTCACCATTACATCACCTCATCACTAGACCACCTCATCACTAGATCACCTCACCACTACA